ACTTAATCCTGTGCACTTCCAGGAGAGCATAGGGCCGCAACCACACCTCTCCACCGAACTCGGTTCTGAGCAACTTTCTTCATCTGCTCCCATGTCATTCCAGTACCCTCAGCTTTACTGTTGACTGACCTCTTCCAGGTTTGCTTGGGTCTGCCCACTTTCCTCTTTCCTTGTGGGTTCCAGTCAAGTGCCTGCCTTGCAACATTGGTAGCTGGTTTTCGCAGGGTGTGTCATATCCAGCCCCATTTTCGTTTTGTGATGTCTTGGGCTATGGGCTTTTGTCTAGTTCTCTCCCACAAATCAATAGTAGTTATCTTTTCTGGCCACCTAATTCCTAATATCCGGCGTAGGCATCTGTTAACAAAGGTCTTGAGCTTTTCCATTTTTGTTTTAGTGACTCTCCAAGTTTCTTAACCGTATAGAAGGACAGACTTAACGTTTGTATTATAGAGTCGTATCTTGCTGTGTAGAGATAATGCCTTAGAGCGCCAGATAGTTTAAAGAGTTGAAACATTAAACATTATACTATAATAATATAAAGCTTTATACACATGAGGTATCATACAAGAATCCGAAGACAAAATCTTAAGAGGAGGTAGGTAATAACTCTATTACCTTTGTGCTATGGACTCCTCTATATTTCTCTCTTAATCACACTGGCTCTCTCACTCTCTCTCTCTCCTTCTCTTTTTCTCACTCTCTCTTACACTCTGAGAGAGAGAGAGAGGGGGGGGGGTGGAGAGAGATAAATGGATGAGAGCGAGAGAGAAAAAAAGAACAATCAAAAGAAATGACTTGATAGTCTATAAATAGTCTATACAACAGATTCGTGAAGTCATCAGTTTTATTTTCAGTAAGACTCTGTGTATGTGCGTGTGTGGATATGTGTTTTTTTGCGAGTGTAATTAAGTGTCTGTGTGTAAGATGAAAACAAGGATAAAATTCATAGCCCAAAAATGATTATTTCCCCTCCCCTTTCCAATCCGCCCGACCACTCCTACTCTTCTGTGTGCCCCCCTGCCTACTTTATTACGATAATACGACGAACGCGATTCCATGCGCTGTCATCCGGATGTTTGCATACCCAGCATGCACCATCCATCATGGCAGCACCATCATTTTTTTTTTTTTATTTACACAAAATTTTAACGTGTTCAGAAAAAAAAAGCGCTATAAGAAAACAAACATACTAAAAAAACAAAAAACAACTAAATATCTGAAGATGTTCAGATGACTATAAAAAAAAAGATTAATGGCATTTTGCGATTACGTATATGATTTTAAAGCCTTTACACTATAATATCCCGGTGGTTAAATTTTAAGTTATTGTAGATCATTTTTCTATCAAAATAAATACATAAATCCTATTTAATAAAATCTGAATCTGTACAATCATCGCTCTAAACTAAAACGATTTCAGCTGATTCGGTAATTGGTGTTATAAAACAAAACAACAACAACAACAACAAAAAAAGCAAGCCCGAAAAAGAGGCTTAGAAAGCCCACAAAAGAGGTCAGAAAGAGAGGCAAAAGCCTAGGGACTCCAAGGATGTAACAGCTGGACAACTGATGTCACAAGCAAAACTAAGGTATCAATAAAATAACAACAAGAAAAACATTTTTAAAAAATACTTTTAAAAAAAGCTTTTACGAAGTGTAATTGTATCGATTAGTTTGGATATGTTTTGTAATTAAATATGTAATAGATCTAGACCAACATCAATAAATCTGTGCGATTAATAATACTTTTACCAATTGTCTTTGTTTAGTGCTATTTCATGCTTTTAGCTTTCTCAATACGCTATGATCCTATCACTTGTCAGCACCAGTTGGGAAGATCTAGCTAACAGGGAATAACTAAAAAACCTATTTTCATAAGCACTTCTCTGGTATAGTAGTTAGAATGTAGGCAATAGGAGGATAGTGCCCTCGAGTCCGAATCCATGTCATACAACTTTTTACTTTTTTTTTCATAAATGCATTCAATAAGCTATTACGGTAACATTCACCCTTATACCCCCTTCTTTCTTCCCTCAACCCTTTCCCAACAGGTCCAGATAATTGATAGGATCAAGCGTAATGAGAAAGCTAAAAACATGAAATTGCGCCTAAACTAAAACGATTGGTAAGAATATTTCTACTCGCACTGATTTATTATTGTTAGTCTAGAGCTATTACATATTTGATTACACGAGTGATCAAAAACATTAAAACCTTTTTTGAAAAAAAAAATGTTTGTGTTAATTCTTGGATTTACTTGAATAAACTTGTTATGTAAAAAAAATTAAACTGCATATAACTTCAATTACAATATAGACAAAGTCAACTTAAGATTAAATTTAGTAGAGTTAAGTAATTATTTGAATTGGTATTTTAAACAAAATCTATATCACCTAAAAAAAAAACAACAAAAAAAAAACAAAAACGTCCTTACTCTTTGGTATCCTCAAAGTCGTCAATCTACATGCTGCCGAAATGGCAGAGCCGCTTTTCCTCCATAATTCTACAAAACTAACAATTAATGCTCCCTTTGTTCAGAATCACCTTGGAAACATACACTTCCTGACAATCAGCCTGCCAACTGTGTATTTTGTTCTTCTTGGAAATAGTTCTCAGTATCAAACTGTATGTAACACAGTGTCTCACTGTGCCATGTCATATCAGTTCTCATTTATTATTATTATTTTTTTTTTTTTTTGAAATAGACTCTACTCCTAGTGAAGTCACTCATGGAACTTGGAGGACATCTAATTACTAAAACAGCTCTAACGATTTTCCAATAAATTTATCAGTTGGTGTATATAGCTTAGAAAAGAATTATTATTATACTATAACATGGAAATTATCTTCTTTTTTTGTTTTTAGTTTGTTTTTAGTGTTGTTTTTTTTTGGTTTGTTTTAGTTTGTCTAGACCAGCGGTTCTCAACCTTTTAAGTTTTAAATTCATTATATTTGCGAATTTGGAATATCCGAAGAACATTCTTTCATTACACATTACGCGAAATGTTACACATCTCTCCTAGGTCTAAAACAAAACTTTTAAGATGATAAGAACTTCTTTTCACAAAGGTCGTTTCATACTTCATCACATGAACATACTAATTATAGTTCATTCATTTCATATTTTAATCAAATTAACATTCAAATTTGTTTTTCTAAAGCATTTTTCATACATTCGTTCGCTGCGAAGCCGTGTTGAGATATATTCTAATAGTTTCCTTTACGCGCAGAATGAACTCTTAAGACTCTAGATTAGTCTAAATATACTCTATAGATCTATGTCTAACGCAAGATCTAGATCTACTTTATACTTAAACTTATGAACATACAAAATTAAGTCTATACATTTCAAATTGTAATCAAATATATGTAGGCCTACAAGCAAACGTTTTTATTTGAAAAATGGATTTAAGTCCATTAGCTATTTATACTATTGTTACATTCATGCATTCCCTTTACTTATAAAATTATTATTTCGTTTAATTGTTTACAGAGCACTCTCAGTGACTATATACATATATATATATATATATATATATATATATATATATATACACACTTAGTAGTTTATATGATTTACAAGGATCTTGTTAACTGATTGTGTTTTTGTTGTGGTATTATCCATTTTTAAATAGTCTTTTGTTTCCTCAACTAGCTTTTTAGCATTTGTTCTTTTTTTTTTTTTTAAAGTAGCTAAAGTTTTATTTCAAACAATCCAAGAACAATTTAAACAGATGTATAGTATTGTGTCAATTCTAATTTATAGATTCATTCTTTCTACATTTTGTAGTGTTTTTAAACACTAATTTTCCAAATCGCTTTCTTGGACGTACAGTCTTACTACTTATTAGCAATACAATCTCCAGGTCACTTGGTGGGCGGGGTAAAAAAAAAATAGTTTTGGGAAGTTTTATTGTTACATTTATGTGTACATTTGTTGAGAACACAAAGTTCTCTTTTTTTTTTTTTTTTTTTTAAAAAAGGAAACCTCAGAATTTGCGCTATTAAAGTGTCATTCCAGAAATATTATGTTAGATTGTACCGCAAAAGTTATTGGAAATTTATACTTAAATGTAGTAATATAGAACAATATAAGTCAAAACATATCTATTATTTTTTCAAGTTTTATTTTAAGTTTCCATCTTCCAAAATAAGTTTGAATAAATTAGTGACATCATTGAACTGTACAAGATATGAATTTCATAAGTGTATACGCACACGACATTCGTACACAAACCAAGCACATAACAGTGTGTGCATACCTTCACCATACATTGCCAGGCACCATGTTCAACACATATCCCATTCTGACCAATATATTCACACACGATCACACACATATTCATCAGTGAAACAGTCTTTGATACAAACAAAACAAAGATGAGCAAAGTAAACAAACAAATATGGAAAGGACTTTTCAGTCAATGTTCTAGTGACCTGCGATGCTGAATGAAAAAAATATGTTGCTGACCCAGACTCAGTGGTTAAACGGTATTGCGCTTGGCTTCCGAACTGGGGTTCGAATCCTGGTGAAGACTGGGATTTTTTATTTCGGAATCTTTGGGCGCATCCTCGTTAACCTTAGGCCACAGAAACAGATGACCTTCACATCATCTGCCCAATAGACAACAAGGTCTGAAAGGAGAAATGTTACCCAGTAGTGAAAGATCTTTACATACACTTTCTTATAGTCATCGAAATACAAAACATTACGAGCACTATCTAAAAATCTATTAAGTTCACAGATTTGAACCTGAGCCCTGAGCCTTGCTGAACAATCACGTTCGGCTTTTCTAACTGCAAGTAGCCTTTACCTTCTCTGTGTACGGATGACCTGACACTGGTGTAACACTTAGCTAACGTGTGTGATGTACTTTAGGGTAGTTGAAATTCCCGGCGGTCAAGGTCGTTTCTTAGGTAAATATGAACTCATTGTGAAACCACTGATGACGTGTACTTCTTGCAGGCTTACATCTCGCAGCTCTGTTACATTCTAGACCCCCCCCCCCCCTTATATACTAAGATTGGAATCAGCCCCACCCATCTCGTGTTGTTCATCATTTCAGCATCACACTCTCATTCACTGACGCGCACACACACTTTCTTTCTCACACAGACTTTTCCACCCGTCACACTGTCACTCGAGGTGACAATAAGAAACGCAAGATGTCGTATTGTCATGCCAGTCATGACACTGTTCATACCTCCCCCCTCCCCCATCCATATCACCCACAGCCGACATACATCATACACGAGGGTGACTGGGGTGGATTGGGGGGGGGGGGAGGTATGAACATAAAGCAGAGAGACACTCTCACGCAGAAAGACCAAAAAAAGTCAACTCAGGGCAAAGTGACACAGCCAATGAGGCGTTGACATAACTGACAATAGACTCGGGGACAACGTGACACAAAACTACTGACACCAGACGCTCAGTGAATGTTTTACAAACTCTCTCTCCTGCATCGCCTGTTTATTTACAATCACAAAGATAAAATTTAGCTATTTCACAATTCCTATCAATAAAACATTTTTAAAAACAAAAATGTATCAAGTTGGTAACACATCAGCCTCTTTCATTATTCATAAGTATTTATTCTAAAGTATTGTCACCTACCTATATTGCTATTTGGGTCGCAAAAAAAAACTGCTAATTAAGTGCATCTGTTCAACTGTTCCAAATGGATGTGGCCAGATAGGAAAATATGGGCTAACCTAACTTTGAATTTGAACCAAAATATTGTTTTTATAATTTTGACATACATAGTAATAAGCCACCCAGCCTCATCCCTAATTTTAAGTGATTAAAAATAGAATCTTTTGTACAAATTATTAGAACTTAACAAACAAACAAATCTATCATAAAAAAGTGGAACAGATATTTCATATTACATAGACATTTTGGCGAACATCATTCAATAAATAAAGAAGCAATACTACAGACCACAGTACATGCACAGGACAAGATATCTACACACAACTAGCTGAGCTCTCATAAAATATAGTGTACAAATGTAACATGGCAGACGTGAGATAAAGAAATAAATATATATATAATAGTTAAGAAAACTTTTTCCCATAGACTCTGCCCAAACTTTCATATACCATACAACAAAAGCACCAGTATGAGAGAGTCTGTTTAAATCATGGTTCAAATCCTATAGAAACACGATTTAAAGAATAATTGTTTCATTGTTATTGGTTTACTTTTTATTGTAAAGCAAGAGACAAAACTAAGTCTAGTAAATTACAGTTTTTCTCTTTTTTTTTAACTACTGGCTCCTCTTTTCAAAGACAAGTAGATACCTACCTATATAAGGGATGGGGAGATACGAAGAGGAAAAGGTGGGAGTCTTATAAATATACGAAGTATCAGATACTAATAAAGATAGACGTGTTTATTTAAAAGTGTATATTTACTAACGCAGGACTTTGCAGTTAGATCAAACCAGCATCTTGTTTTAATACTGGTCAACAATACTCGGTGAAAGAATCCAAATCAGAAACAAGGTTATCAAAAATAACGAAAGTCAATCATCACAAGATTTGCAATAATATTAACAGTTCTCTTTATAGATTATCACACTAAAGCTGGGACGCCCTTGGCGTAGGCTTTATCCCAAACAGTCACAGCGGTATAGGGGTGCCCTTGGTGGCACTGTCCACTTGAGCTGACCATCACTGAAGGGTGGACATGGCCTAACCTGTCTATTTTCACCGTCACGTCTCGGCCCAAACAGGGCCCTTTGGAGACGGGCCGTGAGTCCGGTGCTGCGTGGAAAGAACATGGTTTGGTTGTGCCGCCGATGCTTCCGGGGGCGTGAATCTTGATGCAGGCGTCCCCGACCGTCGACCGCGAGTAGCCAGTGGCGTCGCTGCGGCAGGTGGCCGAGCTGCAAGGTAGTGAAGTGTTACTATGGTGACAGTTGCCCCCGCTGCTGCTGTGGTGATAGCCGCTTCCGCGGGCACCGGGCAAGTTCGTGGGTGGGGGGTCGAAGGCGTCACCCTGAAATGGGTGGCTGAACTGTTTACCGGAGACTTCGTTGAATGGGCTGTACATGGTGCTACTGCTTTCGATGATAGGCCCAGGGGCGTCACTGTACAGCTGGGGCCAGAGCTTAGCGGGTTTTTCGCTAAAGAGTGAGCAACGCTGCTTGGAGTTCTTCCCCTCATAGTACTCTGTAATGCACATGTGGGCTTTCGTGAGACTCCGCTCACGGCGGACCTGCAGCAGCCGTCTGTGGTGACGAGAATCCGTTCTGAGCAAGTGCACTGCCAGCAGTACCAGCAGCACGAGAATAAATCCTCCGGCTATAGGCACCGCAATAACAGCGGCCTTGAACCAGAGGTCAGGGTCGTCGTGATGATTCTTTGAGTATACTGCATTGTCTTCGTTCGATGGTGCGTTTCCTGTGAAGAATAAAAAAAAGTTTGACCTTTAAAATGTTAAAATGCTATAAGAATGTTTGCAAAGTAACTCCACAAGTTGGTAAATATTTAATTTAAACAAAATCCCGTCATTTTAACGGAAGTACTGTCCCCCCCCCCCCATTTGTGTACAGCGAGTTAATTATAAATATAACAGAATGGATTTTTTTAAAAAACTGAGTATGAAGCGATAATAAAAGCTAAATACTGTAATATCAACTGTCACCTAACCCTAATCTAAACCATAATCCAGACCTGTCAAAATAAAAAAAATAAGGATGCGCGGTGGCTGAGCGGCCTGTTGAAGACTGGTATTTTCAATTTTTGAGTCCACCCACCTCTAATGGGTACCTGACAATAGTTGGGGAAAAGTAAATGCGGTTGGTCGTTGTGCTGGTCACATGACACCCTCGTTAAAAGTTGGCCACAGAAACAGATGACTTTTACGTTTATATATATATGGTAACAATTTATGAATCCAATAATAATAATAATAAAGATGATAGTGATAATAATAATGACCATATCCGGACTAGTAATAGCAATTGTTGTTATTATTATTACTGCTATTATATTAACCTTACTTATCAGAGTCGGAAGGAAAAGACTAGTCTATGTCTCTACGACATGAAAGAGCAGAAGACTAAGTGCAGATAGCTCTGGCGCATTGCTAAATGCTATGACTTAACATACCTCAACTATGTGACGTAAGATCTCGATGCATTAACATAAGAATAATAAACGCACTGTGCATTAGAGACTTGATCGTGACTGGTAGTCCAAGAATGAAAATAAAAACAACAAGTGGAGCCCATTTTTAACAACGTGAATGGCGTAGGGAGGACAAGGGCGTTCAATGCTTTATTATCAAGGAGTGGAGGTCAGAACCGCCCAGGTGGGCCGGCGGTAACAGTGGGGCGCCTGCTCGATGGATCGCCCATCGGTTCTCAAATCACAGAACACCGGAAGACGTATTTTCCAGGACGTGTTCTCTTTCGGTGTATGCGTGTGTGCGTCAAACGTTTGAATCTGAGAGTCAATTAGCTCAAACGTGACAAAGGGAGACAACCTTAACAAATAAATAAACAAACTTAAAAAAAAGGTTGTACAGGTTTAAACCAAAGACCAAGTGATGACAAGTGGATTATTTCCCTACAAAACACTAACTGAAAGGTCTATATGCAGACCCCCATAAACTAGAAAATTTGACAAAAAAACAGTTTTTAAAATGTAAGAGAGATAATTCAGTTTCCATAAATCCTCCATATATCATTTCCAGAAAGAGAACAATCAATAACTGAACACAATTGTAAAAAGAGAAACGGTGTAAATAAAAAAAATAGAGTGGTGCTTCTATCAGCAACCCCCCCCCCCCCTCCAAAACTAGATCTATATACACAGCAGATAACAAATTGATTCACGTCCGACACATTGTTTCGCTTTGCGATCATTTGTATTCTCTCCCTTTGTAAATAAGAAAATCCCCGTTTCATTATCCCCCCTTAAGTCAGCTTTTCTTTTCCTGTGCCTGGGATGTGTGCTTAGTGAACTGCCTGATCTTTAACGTTCTATTGTCACACACACACACACACCCACAGACAGACACGCGTTAAAAAAAACTTTCCCTAGTTTAGAAAAAATAAAATTAAAAGGGGGATGTATACAGTAGTAGAGTAAGTCAAATCCCCCAAGTGCGACAGTTAGGCGCCGTAAGCTTAAGGAATACGGTAGCTGGGGAGGGCTGTGGCTTTTCGGAAAATCAAGAAGCAGAAACAAGCGAAGATAAACGGGCAGGGGGGAGACGAAGGCGTACCGAGCAATGGTGGGAGACGTGTCTTGTGGTGTTGTTGTTTTTTTTCTCTCTTTAAGGCAACATAAATTATACAGGTCGTTTGCCACGTACGCCTGGGATAATTAGCGGTATATTAATATTTTGTTCTCCTGGCGGGAGGACAGCTTTGAAGTGCGAGTCAGGTGGATCTACCTGGCCATAGTCATTGTTCTATTCAGCTTTAAGCTAACCCAAGATCGTCTGCGCGGTGATACTTTGAAATAAAGATATATATATATAATAAGATATATCTCGACTAATCCTAACTTTGAATACGATTATGATTTTTTTGGGGGGAGGGGCGGGGGTCTTGGGGATGGCGAATTTAACAAGACTTTATGGGTTTACATTTACATACAACTTAATTATAAATGACTATTTATGCTAATTTAAGGGCACGTGAGGTCTATGCCTCAGCTTCTGGGGGTCGTCAACTTAAGGAAGATAGCGTGTGACTAACAATATTACAATCGCGCAGCATCCGTGAATGAAACCGACACAGACAAAAGAAAAGATGGCGCCTGGAGCTAGGACGAGACCAATCGTTATAGAAGGCCTGAACACTGACCTGCACCGTCATAACTTATGGACAGTTTAGACTAATGGCTAGTTAGAAATAATTTACTTCCAATCTATTGCGTAAAAAAAACATTGTAGGACATCAGAAATGACGTCCAGAACCAGCTTTTTTGTTGCAGTTATGTGTAGGGGAGTAGGGAATAAGAGTTGACTGAGCTTAAACCCCAAACACATTATAGAATACAAGACTTCAATTTAGAGTTGGCAGGAGTTTATATAAAATGTAGTTCACACGAAGACTTTTTTCCGTAAGTGTAATGAGTTTCATTCGTTTTTCTAACAAGTAAAAAAAAAGAATTCAAAGTATTGGATACCTCTCACAAGCCGATTGCCAGTGACCTTAAAGTGCCAAGATTGATAAACATTGTATAGGTGGAGATATGTCCCACAAACAGTGAAACTTCTCACAAGTAAAGTGACAAAAGGATGCTTGTGCCAAATATGTTGCAAACAATAAAGCATTTGCACAAAT